AATTCCCTGTAACTCCTTGTCTCTTAGTCAAAGCCTAAAGGGGTTTTCTAATGAGGGTTAACAATTGAGCATGTAAGAAACAAGTTATGATTAGACGAAGCGATTCCGTCTACAGATTTTAGGTACCAATTAGCAAAGTGACAGATGGACTGTCCAGATTCTTTGCGTTTTATATCGCCCCAGGCTAGCAAAAGTTAATCACCTAATTAAAGACTATCAGTCTACCATACGTTTAGTTGGAACGAATTTAAGTCTAAACACCAATTAGTATGTTGATTTTTTTTTACGAGAATAACTCGTTCTATGTTAAGATAAATTTTAAATTAGTAGGCCACCTAAATGAACTTCTGAGGCAGATTGCCAGAACAAGCGAATACATTGTTCCAGATTTAAAAAGGAATAATTTTTTTTTTTGGGGAAGATCGAATATCAAATTTTTTGTTTTGACAGTAAAATGGCCTAGAGCAATGGGTTATTTTATTTTATTTTGGACGTAGAGTCAAATTTTCAGAGTGATATTAAGAACTCAAGTGGAAAGATGTATCACAGGGTATAAGTTAGACCTAGGTTGATAATCATTATAATTATTATCAGGGTTAATTTTTTTATTAAAGTGGATTTGTTGGTCAAAAATATGAGTACACATTCTATAGACAAGCTAAACAATGTATAGTAGAGGTTAACAACAATGTTCAGCTAAGAACAAAGATAGGTGAGATTGCCACCTCAGATAAGGTAATTTGGAAATAGTCTGGTTTGGGGACGTATTGACTACCATAATTCCCTTCCTGAATATTTTCCTTGATTTAAGAGAAGCGAGAAAAACACCAGACAAACACTCCCAGTGACGAGTTGGTAATAACAAGTTTTAGGATATTACATGTAGATTGTGAAATACTAGTGAAATGACCTAGACCCTCAATGCATATCTGTTCGTTTTATTATCATTATATATTCATTATTACTATATAGCATGTATCATTCCTTTATTATATTCATGTATATTTGTATATATGGAAAGCACGATTCGGATTATAAATGTGTGACATTTTGGTAGCAGAGTTGTTACCATCTTCAGATAAAATGCACCAAACAAGTTTTAATCACAGCATATATATATATTTTTTGTCTATTTACCATAATATTATTCTCATATCAGTGTTATTATAATACACTCCCATATCAATGTTATTTCCTTCCCATATATCATTTTTTTGGCATATTTATCATACAGAGGCGATTCCTTCTCACTTAATGTATCCTTCACCATGTTTACCCTTTCCCCTAATTACCTGCACGAATAATTATATATAGATAAGACACAGTTTGAGCTATAGATTACAAAAAGATAAAGGTAACGAGATAGAATCCAGAACAAATAATTAATATGTGTGACATTTTAGTAACAGCATTGTTACCATCTTCGGACAAATGTACCGAATGAGGATTCTAATCACAATTTATATATTCATCTGTTTACCATAGTATATCCTATATATATATATATATCAAACCATTCCCTCCTACTTATAGTAAATATCCATTTTAAAATTTTTATTTTAACATCGCGTATATCTGCATTGCTCCACTTTGGCATACATCGTATCCGTGCAAATTTAATATGTATATTCACTTCCCACGTTTCTGTTTTGCCCTACTATTAATGTCATTGATAGGAGTTGCAATTTTAGTTTTTTTTATCATTATCATTGTAACCATGTATAGCCATTCCTTTGCTGTCATATGTATCATACAGAGCTAATAAAGTTTTTTTTTAGTTTTTTCAGATATGTTTTAGGAATTGTACATATCTATATTAACACGCACAATTCCTTGGCGCCCTTAATAATTATGTTTACCTAGAAGGTACTAAGAATTTGTTTGTATAGAATCGGTGCTTAGACCATCCCACACCTCCACCATGGGGACTATGGCTGGGAACATGTGGACTCGACTCACATCTGGGCCAAGACTCCCCGGAATACAGACAGCGAAAGGATGGGCTTAGTACATTGCCCATTAAATGGTAAGGTAGAATTTCCCTCGATATATACTACATTGAGCTAACATGTTCCAGGTTCATAGCTCGTGTGTTCCTCCTTTGCCCGAGTGTCAGTGATTGCATACTGATATCGTAAAAGAATGCATTTCCCCCATTTCATATTTCTCATAGTGTATAAACAGATATGAATTGGAGTAAACACATTCTTTCACTCTGGCAGGGGAGGAATTGTTGGGTCAGATTTTCCACCAGACAAGACCCAACAAAGATGTAAACATTTACATCATATAAATATATACGCAGTGTCTCGCCGAAGTGTTTGTTGCCTAGGTGGAGAACTCCCAACGATGGCCGACGATGCTTTATAAAGACTCAAAGCCCGCTGCGGGAGGGCCGAGACGAAGGATGTACAAAGAGCACATGTACAAATAAAAACTAGACACTTGAGGACACCAGGCTTCCATGCCGAAAGCTGATGCCTGGTGGGGAGGAAGACATGGGTGACATCCAGAGACATCCGTGCTGGGAGCTGCTGTACCATATGTACATATATCCCCCTCATTTTGTTTAGAGGTGACCAAAGGAAAACAATTTTTCATATAAACATTAAATCAATAACCTTTTTTTTAAATACTCGGGATATATATATTATTTAATTTACTAAAGGAATTAATTTGTTTTTTTTTCAATATACAATTTTTTTTTCTCTCGCGCGGCAACACGGTAAATTGGAGGCGTGGTCATGATCACGTGCGTGCTTGCTTTCGACGAATGAAAATGCCAGCCAATAGAAACTTTGGCGTGAGGAGCGAATGAAAATGAAGAGAGGCAAGGATAAAAGGAGGTTTTCTTGGCTAAATCGGGGAGATACACAGAGTCGCTCAGTGACAGGAGAGATTCCGCCAGTCGGGCCTGAGACGTAGAGGAGACCAGTCCTTGCCGCCGCTTTCGAGAGAAGGTAAGCCCCTCGCCATTATGGTTTAGCCCCCCTTTATTTTTCGAACAGAAGCTAATCTATTTAGATTCTGAATGGGCCCTAAAGGGCTTTAAGTGACTTAAAAGGAATGTTAGGGTTCATATATTTTGTCCCGCTAGAATAGATGGAGATCTAGGTTCTCCCCTTTATAAAGACGAATTTGTAACCTTATGTCACCTCTACCTAGATCATTATGTAAATAGCATGTCTCGCCAGTATGAAATGTCCCCAAAATTTTGCCTAATCCGAATAAATATCTAGTACACAACTTATATGGAGAGTTTTGTTTCCCCTCCTACATCTTTTTTTTAATTCTTTTGTTTTATGGTACTACCCCCCCACATCTTATTATAACAAATTGTACTGTAATATAGAGCTTCCGGCTCTAATGGAATAGAGTTGTGTATCGTACCGTATTGTGATACTTTAACACAGGAACAGCGGTAAATACGATTCTACCCGCTTTGAGGGTATCTCTTTGTCAGGTTTCAGTAACATGTATTTTTATATGTGGAATTTACCCTTCTTTCACTGTTTAAAATGAAATATTGTATGGTTCTTACCTATTTGGAGGGAATACTACTAATGAAAATAAGCCTTCCAATAAATTGCTGACCACATGTACTGTCGAAAGTGCCTGTCATGTCCTCAGTGATTAAATAGGCCAGTTCTCCTGCCTGTGTTTCAGTGTGTTTTTCCATCATACTTACTATATATTATTCGTTGATTTAATCTTAGCAAAGACCCATCTTGCCTTATCACTCATTGGTTTTTGATCCCCTCATGATGTTATTGAAACCCTTTTTGTTTTAAAAATATTACAAATGTCATTGTCAATAGTATAAGTCTATAGTCTTGCTTGTTTTATAGCTTATTTTGTTAGATTTTGGTATAATCTTTACAAGTAGGGTCCCTTCCATATATGCCCAGATAGTAATCTAATTGAATGTCTTTTGTTGGATCTTTGTTATAAAATCGGGATTAAAAGGATACCTGCATGTTTAATCAGATTTTTCTACCAATAAAATCTGAACCTGGTACTCCATGATATCTAATTTGAAATATTGATTTCAACTTATTATACTCCAATAGAAATGTTAATTTGGTTTTATATTCAGGTTTATAGCTTCTAATAATAACATGTTCATCTTTATCTGAGATCCCCTAAAGTCGTTGGATGATCTCAGAGAACGTGACGCAAAAATGGGCGTGTCACGGACCCGAGTCCGCTGGTCTGTAGAGGCGGCCAATAGATGGCGATCAATTCTAGCATCTGTTTTGATGGCAGAGCCGACCATTATTTCATAGATCATTTTAATTTAGTGTAGGAACGGGAATAATTCAATATTTCCCTCCTTTCTTCCTAAGTACACGTGAGCCCTAATTTAATGGGGAATATCTCTACACATCTGTCCTAGACCTTCCCACACTATATCCTTTGTGTATGAATCTATTTACAATTGATCTGTAGAAATTATAGAGATCTATTGCTATAATTTCCCTCTATGAAATAGTTCCCAGCGCCTTCAGTGGGTTGCTAAATCGCCAGAAGGTGTCTTTTATAGATTGCCCAATTTAATAATGATTTCATGGGTTGTCTGATGATGAGGGAAAATAGTAAGAAATATGTCGTACCAGATTTCGCGAATAAAGTCGAGGGAGGGCTTTATCCCAGAAATCTCTTAAAAAGATAGTTGAGACAACGAGGGAGGCAGGGGAAGGGGCCGCCATTATCTCTTTCGTAGAAGAAGAGAAAAAGAGGGGGGGGGCTGGACGTTGAGACCCCACAATCCACAGACTTCGTTAGTCCCCGAGACACCCGACGCTCTATACATTCCAGGAAGGACCTGTCAACGGGCCTCCCTGACGCTGGGCCTCCTTTGGGGAATTCCACCCACGCCTGGCATGGATGAAAGTCTTTACTTGGAGCAGCAACTCTAAAATCCTTCTGTACCTTGTATATTATCTGATATTCCATCTCCGCAAGTATAACCTTAGCTGTATAAGTCCTATATTTGCCTATTCCTATGTCACACTTGTATATCTTAATAAGGAAATTTTACTAGGTCACTCCTTACATGCTCCGTTCCCATTGGTCTAAAATCGGGAACGCGACAAGCTCGTCCATCGGGGAATTTGTTCCAGGCTGCGCAATACTTAAAAGAGCTCCCAAGGTGCCGATCCTTTCCAACCTCCCGACTAATTCACCCTCATTTCAGCCACGCTTAAAGCGTCGTAAACTACGATGTCAGATCGGTTATCCGAGGTTTGTCGTTAAGCACCTTGCTTACGACATCGGCTACTAAATCCCCCACCTAGCACAAAGTTCACCTGGTACCTCTCCGCTTCCTCTAAAGAGGAGGGGACTTGCAGGTTTTTGACCTGACCATGACCTCCCACAAATCTCCAGTCTGAGAATCGAGACATGGTCACTGCCTACGATTCTTAGAATTCAAGTTGATATAATGAAATAGGGTGATTGTATATACCCTAATAATAGAAATCAATTTTATACTCCCATAGGAGGAGACCTAACAAAATGGGGCGAATAGCTTTCCTAACAATAGAGTTGTACAGTCCTGTGAGGCTGGCGTTCCTAACAAATAAAGAAATCAAAATTAAAAATTGAACCTACTGGTTCCCTAACCCTATTCTAAAGTAATTTTGGTCTAACAGTATAATTGACTGCAGCTTTCTCACATTCATTTCGCATTCCCATTCATACAATTCATTCATAGCGAGCAATCATACTAAAGCTAAATTCTATTATATAAGCCAAAACACTTCAATAATCAATGTCAACATTACCCTAACAATAGCTAATCTCCAGGACTAATGTGAAATCAAATAAAGTTTTTTAATTAAAACAAAGTGGGGACTAAAGCCCTATTAACCTAAATAAATGCCTCATACAAACTCTATATAAATTATCTAATCATAGATAAATATTATTTATAAATAAACAGATAAATAAATCAAACTATGTTGATTGTCAACAATTGTATTCTGAAATCTAGCCTATCACTTTAACTGTGTGTCTAACAGTTTGAAAATCTTCTTATCTTGACACTTGGTGTCTAAATAAACGAATCATCAAGACTAGCACTTAAATGGAGCGAACTGGACTTCAAGCATTTGCCTCATTGCCAAACCTGATCGACCTACAAGTGTTTTTCCAACCCTATTTCTTATATAGGTCATTGGCATTCTCCTTCCTCTGCTATTCTGCTAAACTCTTTCTTTGGACTTATAGGGGTTTCAGTACCCAGCTCGTTCTGGAGTTTAACAACAGAGGTCACTTGTTGCTTTATCATATCAATTCTTAGACTGTAATTGCCTTACACACTCTCATTAGAAATTCTCTTTGGACTGTATAACTGGACCCAGGGATTACAGGGAGTCAAGTTTTTCCCAACGCAAGTTCCAAGTCTGTCCATAGAGAATTGGTTACAAGCACAGCAATTGCCCAGTGCGTCTAAGTCCCTTAATTATTTTTAAAGTTGAACCACTGTTCAGAACCTTCAATAAAAAATTAAAACAAAATAAACTGTTGAACTCACGACTTAAATCACAATTTGCTATCAACACAGAATAGCCTCTTCAATTAAAAAAAAAACTGAAAATCCTTTAAAACCACAATCTAGGGCCTTTAACTCACTCTCTAATACTTCATACTATGATCAAAATGTAACTAACTCTAGTACACATTCTATAGGTTTAATCATTGGCAACCTGGACATGATTTGCACTCATTGGGCCTCTTGACCCTGGTTGAACGGCGTATTTCATGGCCGTCAATATTGCCACCAATTGCCCTATTTACTACCTCAGGCGGGTTTCCTAAGGTTGCTGTCTCTCGCGGTTCCTCTGGTTCTACAGTTCTATGGGAATATATTGGATATGTTGGGTGTACCCAGTGATCCTCATCATCAATGACACCATCTATTTGCTCTTGTACGTTTTCGTCTCCTGTAGGGTAAGTCTTTACCGGGGCATGATAGGCCTTCATTCTGTCTATGTGGATCTTATCTAAGTTCCCCGTCTCCAAATCCTTCAAAAGGTAAACAGTGTTGCCCGTCCTTTGTAGTACCTCATAAGGTCCTCTGTACCTTGGCTCAAATTTATGACGTCCTTTCGTCTCATGCATTCTTTTTACCAAAGCTAGATCCCCTGTCTCAAAGGTCCTCAACTCTCTGGCTTCAAACTCAGCCCTGGCCTCTTGTTGCTCCTTCAAGTAAGTCTGCCTCACCACCTCTCTCGCCTTTTCAACCTCCTCCACCAATTCCCGCTCATAGAAGGCCGCCATTTCGGTAATCGAATCTTCGCATACAGGATTAAGCTCCTCTTCCTGGAAAGGTTGTGGGAGCCTCAGCTCATGTCCGAAGACCAGTTTCGCTGGAGTAAATCCAGTACTAGAGTGTACAGTGGTCCTGATAGCTAAGGCTACCATTGGTAGGGTGGCATCCCAATTGTTCCCCGCTGTACACCTGCGTAGAGATTCTATTACCATCCTATTGAGCCTTTCTACGGCGCCATTACTCTGAGGTCTCCAGGCCGTGGTATTTACTGCTCCAACCACCATAGCCTTGCAGACTCCCTTGAATACGCAACTCATGAATGCTGATCCTCGGTCAGAGAGTATCGTTTTTGGTACCCCAAAGGTAGTGATTATCCTTTCCAACAAGGCCCTAACCACTGTATTGGCACACTGGTCCTTAGTAGGAATCAGAATTGGGAACTTAGTAAATAGGTCCACAATGGTCAGAATACTCGAATAACCTCTTGGGGTTACTTCTAATGGTCCTATGAAGTCTAGAGCTAGGTGCTCAAAGGGTTTTTCGGGTCTAAAGTGGGGAGCACTAGCGGCTTTGGCTACGCCTTGATTCGATAGCTGGCAGCTCTCGCATCTGCGTATATATTTCCGGACTTGTGTCCTCATGCCAGGCCAGTAATAGTCACCCTTCAGCCTTCTCATAACCTTTCTAACTCCGAAATGACCTCCAGTAGCGATGTCATGATGATAGCTGATCACTGTTTCCCTAAAACCTGTAGGAACCACCTTCACCCAGGTACCCCTTTCATTCTTTGTAACGAGGTATTTGTCTAGTAACCTATATTCCCGGTTATTATACCTCTCCGTGCTATTTGGTTTTAATTTCGTTAACTTATTCATTACTGGAGCCCATCCTTCCTCTTGAAGTAAACCTTCCCATATCTGATTACTATTTAATAAGGGGGGCCGACGGTCTCTTACCACCGCGGCCACCACCCTCCTATCTTGTGGTAGGCTTGGATCATCCTCGCACGGGAACCTACTAAGGAAGTCGGCTACCGTGTTTTCCTTCCCCGGGACATAAATGTATGTAACGTTGAAGTCTTGGATGATCTCTGCCCACCTAGACAGTCGGGCGTTCTTATAATCAGACCCCTTATTATAAGTAATCGGTTTATGGTCAGTATGTACTTCTACTCTACTGCCCGCCAGGAGGTGTTTAAAGTGTTGTAGGGACAACACTACTGCATAAGCCTCCTTTTCTATTGTGGAATAGCGGATCTCAGGACCAGTCAGTCTCTTGCTATAATAAGCAATTGGCCTCACTGTCCCATTGACCTCCTGTTGGAGGCAAGCGCCTACCGCTATCCCACTGGCGTCAGTGTTCAGGATGAAAGGTATCCCAATTGTTGGGTGAATTAGTAGTGGCTCGCTGGTTAATATTCCCTTCACCGTCTCAAAGGCTGACTGCTCTATCATACCCCAAGCAAATCTATGTCCCTTCCTTAATAGGTTGCTCAGTGGAGCCAGGACCTCACCTGCGTTGGGAATAAAGCGTCGGTAGTAGTTAACTGTACCCAATAGACTTCTGACTGCCTTGATGTTATGAGGTCGCTTCAAATCCCTGAGAGCGGCGACATTATCCCACATGGGTTTGATCCCATTTTGGTCGATTACATGACCCAGGTACTCTACTGAGTCCCTGAAGAGATAGCTCTTCCCGTATTTGGCCTTCAAACCGAACTTACTCAGGCGTTCGAGTACAGCGGCGAGGTCCGCTACATGCTGCTCGTGAGAGTCGCTGTAGACAATGACGTCATCGATGTACAGGTGAACGCATTTGAACAACAAGTCACCCAGGACCAAGTTCATGGCCCACTGGAAGACCTGTGCTGAGTTTTTAGCTCCTTGTGGCAAACGCGTGAAGCGGTATCTCCCCCAGGGCAGAGAGAAGGTAAAATAATCTCTGTCACTCTCCGGGATGTGAATCTGGAAGAATCCAGAAGTCAGATCTAATGTGCTGAAGACCCTTACACCCGCAAATGCGCGCAGATTGTCTTCAACACGGGGTATCGGGAACGGGAAGAATTCAGTTGCCTCATTGATTATACGTAGATCCATGGTGATGCGAACACTACCATCAGTTTTGGCAACCGGGAATAGAGGGGAATTCCACAGAGAGGTGCTCCCCTCTATTATCCCTACTTCCTCCAGTTCGTCTACTAACGCTTTCACCTTTGAGACTAATCTGTTCGGGATTGGATATTGCCTCCTATATACTGGTTTGCTAGTCAGCATCCTCAGCTTAGGGGCTGTGATGGTGGAGCCATTACCCATATCTGTTATGTCCCTACAGAAACAATGGCTGAAAGCCCTGAAAATATCTTCGCCTGTGTGGATTTCGTTTAAGGGTATCCTGGGTGGTTGAGGAGACATTTCTATTGTTTGTAGTGAGGAAAGAAAGGCTGACTTGGTCGGATCCTCCTTCCTTTCGTAGTCGGATCTAATACTACCGTCGTAGCTGAGGTGTAGTTTTAGAGCTCGGAAACCTGGTAATCCGAGTATGCCATCAAACCCTAATTCCCCCATGTGACAATACTCGAAGGTCGTTCTTACCTCCCTAATGGGCTTACCATTCACCACTGCCCCTATTTCTAACACCTCACTCCCTAATGACCTTAAAGATTTTCCTGATATACCTTTAAGGTAGGTAGGCTTGTCTAGTCCCTCAGTGCATAAATTTAAATTGTCAATATTTACAATGTTGGCCTCTGAGCCTGAATCTATGATAAATTTTAGAGACCTCTCGCCCAGAGACCTCCCTTTATTTAAGATATATACATTTATGGCAGGTAAACTGGCCGCAAATCCCCCTCCTGCCTTGAGGCAAGCCGGGCCTAGTTTTTTCTCTGTTTCTGCTGGCAGTCTCGGATGAGATGCCCTGGCTCGCCGCACCCGTAGCACTTGGGGGGCGGTCTCCCTGTACCCTGCTTCTTGTAGTCCACTCCAGGGTTCTCCTCCCTTTCACCGTTGGGTTCCCTCCTTTGTTGTCTAGGCGGGGATGGATTCCGTTGTTGTCTGGGTGGTTGTTGTGCTGGTCTCCTCTGCCAGTTCCTGAAGGGGGCTCCCCTCCTGCTATCCTGGGCGTTGTCTCCGTAATCCCTTCTCCCTGCGGGGTGTGATGGCCACCTTCCTCCCCCGCTATTTGCACTATTGGCACTCCCTCTTTGTCTTCTAAGGGCTGCATTCTCTATTTCTAGTGCCTCCATTTTCTTCTCCAGCTCGGCCAATTTGTTGCCCATGTCACCCAGCCTCTGACCGTTCCTGTCGGCGCTGGAGCGCTGCGCCTCCCTGTAGTCTTCCTCTCTCTGTTCCAGCCACTGTAGTTTGGTAACTAGGGTCTCCCAGGGTTCGCCTTGGTATAGATGAGCCTTCTCCCACAGGCTGGGGCAGAGTCCGTCGATGAAAACCTCCGCGATCTCCGAGGTGCCTATCTTCAGGCCATCCGACTCTGCACCCGCTGCAAGGTCGCTCACCCGTGCGGCGAAGTCTCGTACTTTCTCTCCGGCCCCCTATCTACATGAGAAGAACTGGCTCCTCATCTCCCTTGTAGAGACCCTCTTTCGGAACCTCCCCTCTAGACTCTCCTTCAACTCTTCGTACCCGAGGCGGATTTGCTGAGATTGTAGGGCAAACTCCCTCGCAGCCCCCCGGAGGTGGTTGTCCAAGAGGATTCTTTTCCTGGCGTCGTCTAGGGCCCTTAGGTCGTAGACAAGCTCAAAGTCCTTTATGAATTTTGTGAAGGGGACTATGCCCTTCCCTTCAAACTTTTCCAGGTTGTACAGCATGGAGGGCAGCTGGGCTTGGCTAGTTGTGGCATTCTCTTCATCAGCAGGCATGGTCCTCAGTTGTTGGATCTACAGGAACTAGGTATTAGTCATTCACCCTGGTTGTAACGGTAGTATCAGGACCCATAGAGGCGGGCGAAGTAGGGAACACAAAACAGAAGGAAGGGGAGGAGCCTTTCTTAATCATGTTCCTAAAACACTGTGGGGTTCACGTTTCAAAAAAAAAAAAAAAATGGTAATCAGAACATAGAAAACCACATGTGGTCGCAAAAGGAAATTTACTCTCATCAGTGCGGGAGATGGAGGAGCTCACTGTTACACAGTGTCGCGTGGATGTGGACGCAAACATCGCGTTTCTGCAGTTATCACACTGCTGAGTAAATGAAGATTCTATAAAAGAAATCCGAGTGATAAAAAAAACTGGTATTCAAAGACATAGAAACCATATGTGTATGTATAAGGAGATTTACTCTCATCAGTGTGGGAGATGGGGGAGCTCACTGTTATACAGTGTCGTGTGGATGTGGACGCAAACATCGCGTTTCTGCAGTTATCACACTGCTGAGTAAATGGAGATTCTATAAAAGAAATCCGAGTGATAAAAAGGAAAAACTGGTATTCAAAGACATAGAAACCATATGTGTATGTATAAGGAGAAAAAAATACTCCAATTTTCAACAGCCTACAGACTTATTTTCAAATTCATCAAGATATTCTATTCATAAACGAGGCCCCTTGCCAAGAGCTACTCCCCACAGGCAGTCATATGGAAGGAACCTTCAAAAGTTTAATACACCAATAACTATGACAAAGATGTCCCCAACTCAATGCAGGTAACCTACACCTAATGAGATGTCTAGGGAGATGGGGGAGCTCACTGTTACACAGTGTCGTGTGGATGTGGACGCAAACATCGCGCTTCTGCAGTTATCACACTGCTGAATAAATGAAGATTCTATAAAAGAAATCCGAGTGATAAAAAGAAAAAATTTGGTATTCAAAAACATAGAAACCATATGTGTATGTATAAGGAGATTTACTCTCATCAGTGTGGGAGATGGAGGAGCTCACTGTTACACAGTGTCGTGTGGATGTGGACGCAAACATCGCGTTTCTGCAGTTATCACACTGCTGAGTAAATGAAGATTCTATAAAAGAAATCCGAGTGAAAAAAAAAAACTGGTATTCAAAGACATAGAAACCATATGTGTATGTATAAGGAGATTTACTCTCATCAGTGTGGGAGATGGGGGAGCTCACTGTTACACAGTGCCGTGTGGATGTGGACGCAAACATCGCGCTTCTGCAGTTATCACACTGCTGAATAAATGAAGACTCTATAAAAGAAATCCGAGTGATAAAAAGAAAAAAATTGGTATTCAAAAACATAGAAACCATATGTGTATGTATAAGGAGATTTACTCTCATCAGTGTGGGAGATGGAGGAGCTCACTGTTACACAGTGTCGTGTGGATGTGGACGCAAACATCGCGCTTCTGCAGTTATCACACTGCTGAATAAATGAAGATTCTATAAAAGAAATCCGAGTGATAAAAAGAAAAAATTTGGTATTCAAAAACATAGAAACCATATGTGTATGTATAAGGAGATTTACTCTCATCAGTGTGGGAGATGGAGGAGCTCACTGTTACACAGTGTCGTGTGGATGTGGACGCAAACATCGCGCTTCTGCAGTTATCACACTGCTGAATAAATTAAGATTCTATAAAAGAAATCCGAGTGATAAAAAGAAAAAAATTTGGTATTCAAAAACATAGAAACCATATGTGTATGTATAAGGAGATTTACTCTCATCAGTGTGGGAGATGGAGGAGCTCACTGTTACACAGTGTCGTGTGGATGTGGACGCAAACATCGCGTTTCTGCAGTTATCACACTGCTGAGTAAATGGAGATTCTATAAAAGAAATCCGAGTGATAAAATGAGAAAAAAAAAACTGGTATTCAAAGACATAGAAACCATATGTGTATGTATAAGGAGATTTACCCTCATCAGTGTGGGAGATGGGGGAGCTCACTGTTACACAGTGTCGTGTGGATGTGGATGCAAACATCGCGTTTCTGCAGTTATCACACTGCTGAGTAAATGGAGATTCTATAAAAGAAATCCGAGTGATAAAAAGGAAAAAACTGGTATTCAAAGACATAGAAACCATATGTGTATGTATAAGGAGATTTACTCTAATTAGTGTGGGAGATGGGGGAGCTCACTGTTACACAGTGTCGTGTGGATGTGGACGCGTAATGGTAACCGAAACATTTATTATGACGTGTAGTGTATGTATTGATTAAATAGTCATAATAAAATTTCACCCCTTGATTCTATTCTATAGGTCTACTTGCTTAAAAAGAAAAAAAAAAAAAAACGGAATAGAATTCAACCTCAGCGCTTTCAAGCCCCACCCGTCCTAGGGGTGAGATGAAATAAATTTCTGGAATCAAATTTTATCTTAAACTCCTGGAATATTTCAGACAATATTCAAATTCGAAAGACTTTTCTACTACAGATGTTCATAAGCAAAGTCTTGGTCTAGTTGGAAAGTCCATCGATTTCCATCTTTTACACCCTTCCTATCCTTTTCTCTGCTACAAAACCCATCACACTAGTAGCTTAAAAAAAACTGCAACTTTACGATTCATTACAACGCTAAAACAAACTCATAGCTAGAAAATAAAAGAAAGCTGAAACTCTTCAGATCACAGCCTATCACTAAGAACAATGTCGTACATTGAAAGATTTTATTAGTCTAAATAAAAAAAAATTTGTCTAACCAAGGTTATCAACATCAAAGCCAAGATTGCAGCCAATAAAATTGCTTCTTAACAGGAGAATACATAATTGTTATTTACCATAGCCCAATACTATAATATAGACTTATGCATATAAAGTAGTGTATACAGTTGCTGGAATTTAGGTAAATCAGCCCATACCAACCCTTAGTGCATTTTAAAATCCTTAATTTTATAAGCTACAGCCTCGCTAGACCGTCTGTCACCTATTAGTTTCAATAGGGGGCCCATTTCCTGTCCTCAAGCAAACCTTCCCACGTCCGGCCGTTATCTATCAAGGGGAGGGGGGGCCGACGATTTCTATTTTTAATTGCCCCGGCTACGACTCTCTTATCTCGTGGTGACTCAGAATTACCCCCGCTCGGGGGCCTACTGAGGAAACCGGCCATCGTGTTCTCTCTCCCCGGGACATACACAAATTTTTACGTCGAGGTCCTAGATGATCTCTGTCACATTGTTAACAAATTACAAATTATGAATATACAATTGTTGAATATCTAGAAATTTCCCCTACCTATTTATCTAATCCCTTAACACGTGCATGTGTCCATCGCCACTTAGCGGCTGTTATTAGAAATTTTCCTCTTTCATTTATACAGTATGAGGCATAGTAATTAAGGCTGCATTTCCATGAGTTCGATTCTTCTTACAACATGCTGAAACGAAATCAAGTGTGGTTATATGACCACTGTCTATGGAGTAACATGGTGCATATTGGGCTGGGAAATGACAAAGTTATTTCGCTCCTTTAAGATTCTAATTGTGACTGAGTTTTCTGTTGAGTTATGATGATACACTGTGAATTTGGTAGGGAAGTTATTTTGTAGGGCTGTGTTGCATATCAGGGGTTTTGCTTGTTCCTGGGTTAGAAATTTTATATTATTCCTTATTACTGTCAGTCTGATAATTACATTCCTGGCTCATGAGATATGTGTGCAACTTGTATAACTCACTGTGGAAATATTTGTGGACATTTAAGAATTTACAGGAGTATATCTAATATGGAGGAGTCACCTCAGCTCGATCTATCCACATTTTTGTTCTGGAATTTAGCGCCATATTCTAGATGGACTTCATTGCCTCATCTATTGTCCAGACATATCACCTTGAGTGTCAATTTTAGGAAACGTCATCTCGTCCTCGACCTTTCTTCTCTTCATGTTGGCACATCACAATGACATTTCCTATGTGGGGGACACACCCTTTAAGCGGTCTATCGGCATCCAGTGATCAAACTTGGCAGAAAACGTCGTCAAAGGGGGCCGCCCTCCTCGCGTGTCTAGCCATCTTAACCAATCACGATACCGCCTCACGCCTACAGGTTCCGAATTACATTCAATGTAATATCTTTGCTCGGGTGTCCAGGCTCTATCAATCCTTATTCACAGCCTTTAGGTGATATTACTCCGCACTGGGAACTCGCATCCCGCTAATTTCCTCATTATATACAAGTGTCAAAATCGAGCCTCGATAAACTCTCCTGTCTCCTATACCCCCATTATTAGATAGATCCTGTCTCTAACACAGGTGGCTTTTGCTGCCTTGTCATCAACTTACAGCTGTCCACGCACGCCTCGGGATATCTCAGCTGTCTTGCAGACACAAGCTCCAGTCATCTCCTTTCCTTTGAATATTTTAAAGATTATCCCAGGTAGTATGTCATAAGTTAATAAATAATTCCACAGTGATTAAAAGTACTCGCGCAAATTGGTCACTATATCTATCCCTTGAGATTCTGCCATTGGAATGTTAAAAACCAGATTTCTATCCATTATTGATTTCAAATAAAAGAAAAGGTTTACGAAGAGATGGTGATCAAACTTCTCTCTTCACGGGTGCGCTAACTGGATCTCCCATTCTAATTTTACCTTAAGGCTCATGTAGTTGTCACTCTCCCAATCCACTATGCGCTGTAGAAAAAATAAAATCGATTAACTATCTCCCGGCATATTAGCCCTAAATCTGGATGCACAGGCTAGTATGACTTGGTAGAAAGCGCTATTAAAATAAAGTTAAGAAATTGTAGCCAGCAATAATTATCAGAACTCACCTCCGCTGTGAGAGAGATTATATCAGAGCTATGATGAAAAAAAAAAATTCTAAGTCATTTCAGTAGACTACTGTAAAACACTGATCACCGTTCTAAATTTGAACCATGGCAATCCAACCTCACTTCTCATACTGTATAAAATAATTTAAGAAAATAAAATAATAAAAAAATTGTAATCAATGGTGCTCGCAACAGAATTCAAAATGATTGAGACACAGAGCATTATAAATAATGTCCAGCAAGCAGGATACCAAACCACCTTTATATTACAACATTTCCACAAAGTATAACAATCAATAACCCAATAAACAAAACCACAAATATCTATAGGGCGATATGTTACATTCCATACTCACAAACATCTATAACAATAGCCAGCTACTTAAGAAACTTCGTCATCCAAACATATTACTGTAACTCCCCTAACATAGGCTCCACCATTAAAAATCCACTATCTAAAATAATCCTAATATCATAAAACCCACTAACTAAAACAGAAAATAAAAGGCAATATATTCCATAGAATGCAACAACTGCCAAGCCAAATACGCGGGGGAGACAGGAAGGAGAGTCAGCAATAGAATATATGAACATAGACGCAACATTATAAATCAAGACAATAGATCTCTAAATTTCCAACACTGCAGAGAAACAGGCCACACTTTCGCATTAGGAGAACCTAGAATAGATTACAATAACATAAACAGCAAATATCAAAGGCTTATAATTGATCCTTTATTATTCAGAAACACAATAACATTAATAGAAAATAGATTTGCCCGAAACATATAACACAATATATCCTAGTACCAGCTAATAATATTGTCGCGAAATTTGTTTAGAGTTAAATCAAAGTAATTGTTTAATTATTAAATATATGTAAATATTTTAATAGTTCGATGTTATGTAAATTTTGTAACTGTATATATTTTCCTTCTTTTTCTTTAGATGTGGAGTGAGAAAGATATCACTCAACTTGCGAGTCTTAATCTAATAATAAAACCTTCTGAAATAGCTTTGTGTACCTCTGTTCTTTAATCGCGACAATTGGTGGAGACGCTGGGTATAGCCTTGAAATAATAAAAACGGCTGAATTGAATTTGAGGAGAAGTCTTCGACTTAAGGGAATATCTCCTGATTTGGGATCGCTTGACAAAGAACCAATCATGATAAAGAATGAATCTGGAGAAACCTCATCCCAAGTCCCCTCAACTTACCTTTCCTTGCAACAGCCAAGATGCCCTTCCTCATTTACTGGAGATGGAAGTCAAGACGCCCAAAAATGGCTAAAAGATTATAAAAGAGTTGCCAAATACAATAGATGGGATGACACTATGTGTCTGGCAAATGCTGTGTTTTTTCTTGAAGGAACAGCTCGAAAATGGTTTGAAAATAATGAAGAAACTCTGACTTCCTGGGATGACTTTCAGAGGGCTCTAGGTGAAGCATTTGGCCAACAAGAAGAGGTAATTAAAGAAGCTGAGTCTCTACTGAAGAATAGAGCTCAGAAAGTGAAGGAATCTTCAGAGGCCTACATCAAGGACGTACTGTACCTATGTCAAGTAGTTAACCCCCGGATGGACGATGAAACCAAATTAGGACATCTGATGAAAGGAGTCGCCGAGGACATTTATCAGATATTGATTGCAAAAGATGTTGAAAATGTAAATCATTTCTTAAAGGAATGCCGGAAAATAGAAATTATGAGAAAGAGAAGAATATCTTCAAGATTTGAAAGACTTCCAAATGTAGCTTCAATGGCCTATGAGGAAAAAGATCTTCCATCATTGATTAGAAGAATTGTCCAAGAAGAGATACAGAAAGTAATAGCCCCACCAGGACTGACCACAGATTCGATAGAGGACATGATAAGAGAGGAGGTGAAAATGAATTTGTCGCCAATCTCTCTAAAAGACCGTCAGTTCTAGTAAGGAACCAATCAAGACCATTCAGGACGTATGAGCCATCCAAAAGAACTGAATATTCTTCTCCCCAATTCTACCGAAATCTCAACAATGGAGGACTCCAGACGATCGCCCCTTATGTTTCCATTGTGGAAGACCTGGTCACGTCGTCAGGTATTGTCGGGAGAGGAGGCAAGTTTTCGCGGATGCTCGCGCCAGGAGGGAACCAAGGAGACCAACAACACTGGGCGACTATATGCCAAATATTGAAGAAATAGACCCTAGGATTCCCCCAGCTCGCCAACCTAGGAGTGCCTCACCCTATCCGGGGAGGAGGATAAGTACAGGACGCAGGCCATCAAGATCACCTGCTAGGGTGAACAGCCGCTCATCGTCAAGAGAAAGGGAGGAAAACTAGAACTGGCGACCTGCTTAGGAGGTAAGGCCGCACGAATACTAAATCCTCCGTCGACGACTTCCACCAAATTGAAGAATAATTTTGTTAAGATCACTATAAAAGGGAGTGAGGTACTTGCTTTGGTGGACTCTGGAGCAGACTATTCAGTTATATCAGAAGATTTCCGTCGTCATATAAGAACTCCTTTGTTATCTAGTAAAGGACCAATTATAAGAGTGGCAAACTCCAAATGCGTCAGAGCCCTAGGACGATGTGTTCTAAAGATTAACGTAAATGAATTAACCCAACCATTCGAGTTTATTGTACTATCTGAGTGTAGTCATAAAGTTATCCTTGGTTGGGACTTTCTGAAATTAACTCAAGCCAAAATTAATTGTGGGGAAAATGAGCTTTACTTAAGGGAAGCTCCTATGAAGGAAGAACTCTGTCCAGTAGACACCGTTTGCACTTTAGAGGATAGCATTATTCCACCCAACTCAATCAAGCAAATAACTGTTGTCTGTAGCAACATTGCGGGAGTTCAAGAAGTTCTGATTACTTGCTCTAAGGCTCTTACTATGGATAAAGAACTAATTATTCCGGCCTCCGTTGTCAGTCTCAGCCATGGAAGGAGCAAGGTTTGGATGGCAAATGGGAGTGACTTTGCAAAGATCATTCCTGCAGGGATGAAAGTTGCGGAAATATCTCTCATTGACACCAGTAATTTATGCTGCATAGATGGAGGCAATGATGATTTTGAGAAAAATGAAAATAGATGCCCTGAGGACTTGGATAAACTTGTGACCCTTATAGACACTGATATATCCAATGAAGATAGAGTGAGAATGTTGGATGTTCTTAGGAGGTACATAGATGTATTTGAATTTCAAAAAGCAAACCTCAAAACTTCATCATTGAAAGTTAAACATTGCATTGTTACTGGAGATCATGCCCCTATTAAGCAACGCCCATATAGAGTGTCACCAAAAGAAAGAAGCATTATTCAGACAGAAGTGGACAAAATGCTTAAACAAGGAATAATTGAACCATCGGATAGTCCCTGGTCCTCTCCTGTCGTTTTAGTTAAAAAGAAAGATGGAACCTGGAGGTTCTGTGTGGACTACCGCCGATTAAACAAAATAACCAGGAAAGACGTATATCCGTTACCCAGAATTGATGACACTCTGGACTCGTTGAGAGGAGCTTCCATATTCTCTACGATGGATTTGAAATCGGGGTATTGGCAGATCGAAGTTGATGAAGCTGATCGTGAGAAGACTGCTTTCGTAACCCCTGATGGCCTTTTCGAGTTTAGAGTGAGTTCATTAGTAGTATTCCCTCCAAATAGGTAAGAACCATACAATATTTCATTTTAAACAGTGAAAGAAGGGTAAATTCCACATATAAAAATACATGTTACTGAAACCTGACAAAGAGATACCCTCAAAGCGGGTAGAATCGTATTTACCGCTGTTCCTGTGTTAAAGTATCACAATACGGTACGATACACAACTCTATTCCATTAGAGCCGGAAGCTCTATATTAGAGTACAATTTGTTATAATAAGATGTGGGGGGGGGGGTAGTACCATAAAACAAAAGAATAAAAAAAAAGATGTATGAGGGGAAACAAAACTCTCCATATAAGTTGTGTACTAGATATTTATTCGGATTAGGCAAAATTTTGGGGACATTTCATACTGGCGAGACATGCTATTTA